TCCATAAAGTCATTAGGAGTCATATTGAACTCATTATATGAATGCCATGAAATGAATGCCATGAAAGAGTGATTGCATTGGTAAACAGTACTGGTGGTCCTCAGCTTATGACCAATTACTTAGGGACCATTCAAATTTATAATGGACCCAAAAAAGGTACTTTCAACCTGATTTTGAAGTTCCATGGCTCCCCCATGTCAAGAGATCACATTTAAGACTGTTTGCAGTGTCCCATGGTCACATTTATGACTTTACTGCTGTAAACCAGAATTTACTTTGTTTCTAGGAAAAATATGCTCATTGTAGACAATGGATTTGCTTAGCAACTACAGTATTCTCTTATTGACTGTTGCAAAAATTGTCGTAAAATTGAGTTGGTCATGTGTTGACCCACTTAATGGTTGGCACAACTTATGATTGTTATTCTGGACTTAATTACAATCATATTTGAGAACTACCTGAGATCATTCAACAGCATGGGTGAGGTTCATCAATATGCTGGTGCTATTCAGCTGTGTATCTCTGTCCTTGGCCAGCCAGTTGATGCAATCTTCCTTGTCTCTTGTTCAAAGAGCAGGTGACAGCTGTGGTCAGGATGTCTTTGCATAGCTTTGTGGTGTGCACCAGTAGCACCTTTCTTGGATCAGGAGGCATTACTTTTGTCTCTCAGACTTTGATCACCTCCCAAGTGTCTTGTAACATAATCTGCATGGAGCTCCCCTTGAAGAACTTCTAGAACTTCAATTGGTCCACAGTGTGGTGCTGTGGGCAATTAATGAGTATGTCTTGCTTTTCCTATGTTATCCCTTTGCTCCATAGGCTGCACTGTTTTCCAAATATGCTTTCTGGTGCAATTCAAAATATCAGTTACTATCTTTAAAGCGTTTTGTGGCATAGGGCCACAAAATTTGAGGGACCACTTTACTCCCATCATTTCTGTCTCATTAACACACACAGGTCCCTTCTGTTAGGCATTGTCATCTAGTGGGATCCAGGAAGTGCATCTTTTCTGTAACTGCATTTGCCCTCTAGAAAACTTTACAGCTTGAGGTTTGTCTGACCCTGACTCTGCTCATCTTTCAGAAAGCCTTGAAAATCTGGCTATTTTCACAGGCATCAGGGGATGGGGCAGGAGTGTAATTGCTGTTGGTGAATGATGTGTTTAGGAGTTATTAATCAATTAGGAAAGGTGCTTTTTATTTTTATTTTTCATATACATTTTACTGTATTTTAATTCCTATTATCCTTTCAGATTTGCATTGGTGAGATGGGAGGCCACATATATCCATCCATCCATCCGTCCATCCATCCATCTCTCCCTCCATCTCTCCATCCATCCATCCATCCATCCATCCATCCATCCATCTATCTATCCATCCATCCATCCATCCATCCATCCATCCATCCATCCATCACATATATGCTATGATTTAACCAATTGGTGCCTTCAACATTTTCTATTTAATATACATTTTATTAGCTAACTAAAACTATAGACAGAATCAGGACAATAGATCATTGTTACAAACAGCCTTCCTTTAGAAACAGGTAATTGCTTAACTACAGAATATACAGACCTTGCCACCTCTTTTTTTTCCCAGCCATTTCCTTATGACACTGCCTTAGCTTACCTAACATGTGCTTGACGTAATCAAAGTGAACCTTAGCTGTATTTTTTTCTCTTTTCCTAATAAAAAATGTGCTGATTATATTATCTGGCATGCTACACTAACTACTGGTTGCTGACAGTCAGTGGTTCAGATCTGCTCAGCTCCTCAGCTCACATTAGTCTGCTCTGGGCACAAACTTTCCCTTTAATCATTGGGCATAGCTCTCTATGGCAATGTTGGCTTGTGCAAGAGGAGAAATGAGGCACATCATTTTCACAGAGGTATCTTACCTGTGCATTACCTGACTTATTGGGCCTTATGGAGGCTCCTTATTGGGTTTATACTCAAAAGCTCACTAGGATTGTGATACACGGAAGGTCAGTTTAAATTAAAAGAGACAGCCAGACACTTCGAGGTTCGGCACTGCTAGTTTTTTTTCCGTTGAGTGCATTACAAGTTTTCATCTGCTTCTGCTGATAAAGAATTTTGTGGGGTTGTATTTTTTTTTGTAGTTTGTTCTATTTTTATTTTATTTCATTTGGAGGTTCACACAAGATCAATCACAGGCAAATGCAGTTTCTGTGACTATGCAATAACCATAATTAATTATGCCCACTTAGTGCAACTACTTTGCCTATGGCTTTGGCAGACTAGATGCCATGGTGATGGCCCTTGTTATTTCATTTGGACCAATTACCACTGCATGATGCCCTTGTATGGCTTGTTCTCCAGACAATCACTTCTGGCCATGAGGTTGAAACAGAAATCTTGGTCATCGGTTGGCAGCAATGTCATGCTCCTGCAGCATTAGCTGGGAATGGACCTTGATTGTTATTGACCACTCCTTTCATACTTTGCCCCCTTCTGCCTTTTACATGTCAGCCAGGCTATTCTTGAACCTGAGTTTAGATCTGTATTTCTGAAGAAAGCTATACCCATGTCTGATAGGCAATACATAGAGGGGAGGCTGTGAGGAACATTGGGGGGGGGGAGCTCTTTCCCATTTTACACCATGTCCCCGCTTAAAACCTGCCACTGCCAATGATACATCATTCTAGGCATCCACCTAACTTGGCTCTCTCCTGTTCAACTCCACGTGAAGGAAAGTGATTGGCAATGGTTTGGTTGCACTTGGCAGAAGAAACAAACTTATGGAATCCACCAATCCCATTACTTGGTCCACAATTATACAGACAGCACAATATTCGGCAGAAAGAGCACTTCTGTCAATCCTGAGAAAAAGCCCTAAGAACTCTACTGCAAAAATTCTCTTACCACGGTTCAAATCCACCACTTGCTCACACAAGGATCTTAGCTGCCAGTGTCTCCCCTCTTCTCGTTACTATTCAGTCCATCGCTTGACTTCCGTGCAAGGCAGCGAGCTCCAAGAACAGTTGCTTTTCCTGGGAAGGAACGCGGGAGAAAAATCTTGCTTTGTCCATGCAGATGCTATGGCGGCTTCTTGAAGACAGGGAATGGAACCCCGATTTCGACGGGGTCCGACGGGACCCCCCCTTTCTGTTGCCCCGTCGTGTGCTTTCTTCACGGTCGCCAGTAGGAGACGCTAAAAGGCCAGGACAAGGCTCTGTTTTTGCCCTTCGGCTACATGACGTTCATTGCTGCCTCAGCCAGTATCTCACTAATAACGCGGGGGAGGGGGAGAAAAATCCAGGCAGAGGAGCAATTCCTCCAACGCTCACTTGTGAACCCCCCCCCCAACAGACACTCTGGTTGATTGGGTAGATGTGTGTGAATGCCTCTGGCTTCGTAGGCGGGCGATTGGGGAGAGCTGGCTAACTCCAGCCCACACCACTTCCACCCACTCGCACCCTTGGGTGACAGGTCGCTTTTGTGAGTCTCCCGCCCTTCCGGGCCTGTCTTCTACTATTGACTCACAGGGAGTCCTCCTTACTCCCTCGCCACCAGTTTTTGATACAGCGCCATTATTCTAGTTCTCTCTCTTTCCCGCCCTGGTTTTCACCTTCCTTTGCTTTCCGGGGAAAACGGTGGCATTCGCTGTGGCGATGTGGGCGTGTATTTGAAAGATATTGCAGCGGAGGCAATACTGCCTTTGCCCCGAGGCAGCCCTTTTCGGGCAAAATGGGGCTGAACCTCAGCCCGACGAACTCAGAGCAATTGAGGTGAATTGTAGATATTCCCGGAGGCTAACCAATGTCCCCCGCCCCGACCCTGAGGCAACCATAGCCTCCCGCACGCCGTTAGAAGAGGGACTTGTGTCGCTGCAAAATGGGGTCTTCTCTTCGCTAGGAGGGTCGTCCTTTTCTCTCTCCCGCTTCCAAATCCTCCCCGAGCCCGGTCCGAGTCCCCACAAAGAACAGCCTCCGGCTAACAGGTAACCGAGGAAGAAGGTGCAGCCGCCAAGCGCTGGAAGGTCCGTTGCAGCTGGTGGCAACAGTTACTGGCCGACTGGAATCGGTTGGCGGCCGCCGCCGCGTGTGACGAGCCGGGCGCGCGTGTGCATCTCTCCCTCCCCCTCCCAGTCCGCACACCTCTCCAGAAAAGCAAATGCGGTCTCGGGGAGGCTAGGTAGAGAGTCGAGCCCCCCCCCGCCCGTTTCATTCATTCCTCTGGAGCTGGTGGTGGGACGAGGAGGGGGAGAAGGGGGTGGGTGGAGAGAGAAGACCGCCGACATGTCAGCAGCAATGCAGATGGGGCTAGGAACGGCAGTCGCTCGCTACTGAACGGCTCCCCGCGAGTGGTGGGCTGAATTTGGTGCGCACGCGCTCGTGTGTGTCCGTGTGTGTGTGGGTGTGTGCGCGCGCGTGTGAGCGCGCATGTGTGCATGTGTGTGTGTGTTACGGAGTTCCTTCCTTCGGTGGTTTCTAGCTCGCCCGCTTCTCCAGTTCGCCTTCGTGCCCATCCCAGCCATGGCACAGCCGGAGCATCTCTGACATATTTATAGCCCAGGAACAGCTGTTTGCCATTCCTCTATTTGTGGGCTCATGTGGGGAAATGCGTTTTCCTTCCCCTTCTTCGAAACGTGCTAGCGTCTCCACAGAGGAGCGATTCGATCTCTCCCGTCCTCCTCTCAGACCGACCCTCTCCCCTCTTTTCCCTTCAGGAGGGGGCTCTTGGAGAATTATCATGCTTCGCGGAGGACCAAAATCTACCCTCGCGGCAGCCCAACTCAGCCTGTTTTGCTAAGCTTCAAGGAATATATTTCTTCTAATCATCGGCATCAATAGAAGAATCGTCACTGTGGTATTCTCGCATTCCTTCTCTTCCTTCCTTCCTTCTTTAAAAAGAGAAAATGGAATGATCTCTCTGGATCCCGCTTATTTCGAGTTTCCTCTCTACTGGGTCAGATTCATCTTCGAAGGCAATATCTTGCTTTGCCTTTGCACCACTTCCAGACGCAAGATTGCCAGCGTCGAGGCGTCTTGCAAGAAAACGGTTTCTATGTGCATCTGGCATCGCCCCTTCCCCATTTGCTCCCCAATCCTCATTCTTCTTTATGTGGATATGCAAGCAAGAAGAGGAGACTGGATATTCCCAACATGCTCACTCCCCTAATCTGTCCGCCTAGAGGTTCTGCTTCTACAAATCAAGGTAGGAGATTTTGTTCAGGGTGGGGTGGAGGTTGCTAAATATTCCCCCCCCTCTCTCTTACACACACACTATAGAAAAGCCACTCGTGTTTTAAGCAACTAATGTTGTACTGGTAGCACAGACCAACCGCTGGAATTCTCACAAAAGAGCCAGAGACGCTGTTTGAAATGAGATTCGGTTTTAAGGAGTCATTCAGACATGTTGATTCCTCCCTTCCCTGGCTCGTCAGAAGAGCAGGGGGAAAAGAGACACGAGCTTATTCCCTCCCTTCTCCACCTGATACGACAGTGCTTTCGTGCTTCTAAAAGGAGGCGGAGGTGGGGCAGGAGGCAACGGATCAGGGGAGGGCAAAGATGGAGCTTCGCTACCTCTCTGTCAAAATGGTCTTGACCAGCCTCTTCTCTAGCTCGGGTGTTACAGCCTGGCCATTTGGGAATATGCAACATGGTGGTGTTCTGCAAAGAGACTGTCTTCTAGTCCAAGTGCAAGCAGGCCCTGGAGCATTAGGCAAGCCAGATACAATGAAGCTGCCTTCGCAAAGGTTAGTTGTAGCGAGTACTGGCCAGCCAGTCCCAAGAGAAGCAGAGGGGGCTGCTGCTGTGTAGGCAGCCGCTGTCTGTTTGCAGGTGGAGGGCTATCTGAAGTCTAAGCACGTTAGGGGACCTCTACCCCCCCCCCCGCGCTTTATCCCAAGGCAAAACCTGCACCTGCCATTCTCCTCCTGAGTGATGCTGGAGGATTTAGCCACGTTGCCTTCTCGTTTCTTGGCGCGAGCCATGCAGTTTTTCCTTCCCTTCTTCTCTCCCTCCGTGTCTGCCTCGCTTTCGCACACATACTGTACACCCACCCTAATTTTTCAGCAAACTGCTACTCATGGGATGCAAAATGGCTATCTTCTTGCTCGATTGTGCCTGCCTGCGCGACATAGACTGCTAAATGCAGGACTGAAATTGGGCACGCCAGTCTAGGGGTAAGATGGTGGCAAGACAAAGGCGGGCGAGTTCTCTTGTGAGTGGGTGTGGATGCACTTCCAAAATCGTATGAAAAATGGGAATCGTGGTGTTTGGTTTCAGCCCCAATCGTTCCGACCGGTGACCCTTCTGGTCGGTTATATTGCCGTTAGAACCTCCTGTGAGCACGCCACTATAGGAACCCCCCCCCCCCTCTTCACATCGCGAGGTGCTGAATTGTTTCTACCTGGGATTCTGTAAGGATGGATCCCTCACTGGGCTTAGAGGCAACCTCTGGATCACTCACCAGATGGTCCTAAATAGCTTCCCGGAAGATTTCACGCCAAGAGTGACCCTCTTCCACTCCCAACTTCCGAGAAGCGGCCCAGAACGGCTGCCGGTTTGCCAGGAGATGGTGGCCAATAACGGGACGCGAACGATCCGGGAAGTAAGGTGCGGGGAAAGGGGTGAGAGGTGATGGCTCTCTCCATGATCACCACACCCCTTTAGGCTCTCGAGCCTTCCGTCTCCGAAACAGGTGGAAGGACCTGCCCCCCCGTAAAACCAAGGGCAGTTGGGAGATCGCCGAACAGCCCCTCCCCAGACTAGAAAAGGACCCCGTTTGCCTTGCAATCCTTCCCAGAGGCAGGCAAGGGGGGCCCTGCCAGAAATGCCGAGAGAGCGCAAGGAATGTACCGCCTTGGCACCGTTTCTTTCCTATCCTCCCGGCTCCGCTGTGGTTGTAAGGAGAGGCGAGGATGACGGTCCTTCTCAGCGCGAGAGAGGTCGGTGCGAGGTAGAATCCCACCACCACCACCACCGCCGCCGCCAGCCACGTTCGCCTGGCGCTTCTATAAATAGCTCAGGATCTCGGTGACATCTACCTACGTTCCCCTTCCGCGAGTGGGAGTCTAAAGTTTACCTGCGCTGGGAGAGTGCGCGCGCGTGTGAGCGAGGGGCGGAGCCAAGAGGCCGGGGCAAAGGGTGTGTGGAAGAGCGGCTTCTGAAGGGGTGGGGATTTCCAGCACACTCGCTAGAGTTAGGGCGACAGGTGCGTGCCTGGAGCGCGGCTATCGGCACTCCCTCCCTTCCGCTGGCTTGCAGCACAACTTGCCAGCCGAGTGGAGGAGGGCGCACCTTCTCGTCCTGCCTCCCCCCCCCCAACAGATGTGACTGTTGGGGACAACGGGCAGCAAAAAAAAAAAAAAAAAAAAAAAAAGGCGCTTGGTTTCTCTCAGGCGTTCCTTCGCAAAGGCAGCTCGCCACAGAGTTCCAGTCGGCAGAGTGGGCAGAAGAGCTCGCGTCTTTCGGATCGATCAAGGCTAAGAAGATTTTTTTTTCCCCCCCCAGCGCCTCTTGAACGGGTGGGATGGCATTTATCGGGGGCGCGCGTGCGCGTGCGCGTACGTGCCAGCGTTGGGTCGAGTGGGCGCGGAGAGCTTTTCCTCCTGTGGCTGTTTCGGTAGAGCGAGACAAGGTTCCCTTCTTCCGATGCAGCCAGTTTAGCGGTGCTCCTGTCTGCAAACTTTCCTCGTGCCTCTCGCTGGGGATGCTGGAAATTCTCACCTACGAGGCTTGAGACGCTGCTTTTCTACTCTCGCTCCCAAGGACAGTTATCAACATTTCCATGGGAGACTTAAAGCCGTTTCGTGTACAATTGTCTGCGCAGCTTAGAATGAAATTCTTTCCAGCATTTCCATTTTAGAACAAAAAATCGATATAAATCTTAAAATGTACATGGAATGTATATTTGTTTTAGGGAGTCTTCAAGCACAATATTTTTTCTTCAATTCTCGAGCATCACCTGGAAATGGAATGGACAATTACTAAAGCCACGTCACTTTTTTTTTCAACACTGATGTCACCCACACATTCACAAAAACAGTGTAAGAAAACCAGCATAGGAAGTTCCAAATGGATCATGTGCATGATATAAGAACATATTTTTCACTGATGTTTCCCACAACTTTCATTCATAGCACCAAATGACAAATTGGAAGAAATCAGACTGAAAGGTGACCAGGGCTTTAATTGTGAGAATTTGACTGGATTCCTCCAGATCCCAAACCTAACATTGGCAGAGAAACATCTCCACAACCTCTTCCATTGATTTGGAGTGTATTCAGTAGCCATGGCTTTTAAACAAAGCATACCTGTATGGCAGGAGTGGGAAGGAGTGGGGGGGGGGGGGTTGGGGTAATGAAGAATTAGGCCTAGGGCATAGAAGAAGCTGTAGTGTCACGTTTTCTCTGCATTTAATTCTGCTTTTCAATATTTTCATAAAATACTGTATACAGTATATTCATCACTTTTCATTCTAGTTTATACTACCACTTTATTATTGTGATGATATTTTAATCTAAAATATTACAACAAAGCTAACCAACACAAATTAACAATGGTCACAGAACAAATTATAAGATGGGCTTGGAATACTTTGGGGAACAAGGCTTTTAAAAGAAAGGTATCACACCATATCTATTCTTGAGCTCTGGAACTATTTCACAAATAGGGTTTCTTTCTTCTTTAACCCCATCTAAAGATTACTCTTTTAAAAATAACATTTATAAACTGAAGACCTTCAATTTTAAAAACACACCTAGCTAGCAGAGGATATCCCCCAATGCAAGATGAATTGTGGTTAAAAAATGTCTTAATTCACAGCAAACTGTGATAATGGATTGGAAGAGAATGAGAAAGTTAAAAAAAAAAATCTTTACCTGGGTAACCCTTAATCTAGCAGAAATTTTCAGAAAGCCAAGATGGGGTAACACAGTTGTGAGCTGCTATTATACTAAAATGATAGTGTGAATAAATGTGTGATACTTCTAAGAGCTATAAACAAAAACGTTACCAACTCAGAATACAGAATGAACATCTGAAATACATTAGGGATTTATTAAAGTTAATTTTAAAGTTATAGTTAAATTCATAGAAATAGAACACAAATGTTGCCACTGTGAAACTCAAAGATACATTTGATGGAATTCAGTAAAGCTTTCTGTGATATAATTTATATCCTCAGAGACAGATTTACAGGATAAATATACTGAAATATATACATATATGTACAAACTTTCAGATACATAAGTTATCTTTAAAAATATTGATTGATTGACATATCAAAAGATATATACACCAATGTGTGATATATACACATTGAAGTATGGGTTTCTGTGTGTGTGCACGAGCACACACACACACACACACACACACAGATATAAATAACACACATCTTGGGTTATCATATAAAAACACAAATTAATTACCAGATAAAAATAGTTTAGAAATATAATAGAAACATGCAGTACTTGTATACACCCACAGCTTGTCAATTACACTCTGTTAAAGAAACACGTATAGAATTGTAAATAGACATATATGATACATACAGTTGTGCAGTGGTGGGATTCAAATATGTGAACAACCAGTTCTCTGTGTGGATGCTGATTCTGAAAGTCCATTCTGGGCCTGGGCAACAAAAAATTAGCTGTCGATTTTGCCAAACTGGTGTGAACTGGTTGAATCCCACCACTGCAATCATGTAATTATAGGAAGCATATCGTGCACATTTAAGGCTTGGCTTTGAATATATAAAGTATTAATAAGATAGTGGTTTAAAATTTATGCAGTTTTTTTCTTCTCTCCCTATGAGGAGAAATAGTAATTATATAGTTCTCATATACAGGAGTCATTTCAACGTAGGAAAACATATAAACATAAAACCAACATATACATACTTAATTTTAAGAATGTGTGTGTATGTGTGTATACAGCTAGTCCTTATGATTGTTTGTTTAATGATGGTTTAAACTTATGATGGCCTTGGAAAAAGTGACTTACAACCTGTCCTCTAAGTTACAACCATCGCCCCACTCGTAAATTTACATAAATAGGGGAGAGTAAAGTGTACTGGATATGTTCACCACTTTGAGTTATTTGTAAAAATAATAAAGGCAGGATACAAACAAAAAAAATAAAACAATTGCAATTTGGGTGTTTGGCAACCAGCTGGTATATATGGGAGGAAAATTAATTTGCTTAATGACT